GTTCAGGCCTCACAACCGACCCAAAAAAAAAAAAAAAAAAAGTGCTGGTGGGATAGTGAGTGGGATGTAATGGTTCTAAGGCAAAGAATCTTTTTTTGTTTTTTTGGGTCCGGTCGTGGGGCCTGAACTCTGGGCCTGGGTGCTGTTCCTCAGCTCTTCAGCTCAAGGCTAGCGCTCTGCCACTTGAGCCACAGCACCACTTCCAGTTTTTTTCTTTTTGCTTATGTGGTGCTGAGGAATCAAACCCAGGGCCTCAGGCATGCAAGGCAAGCGCTCTACCACTGAGCTACCTTCCCAGCCCCTCCCTGAGCTCTTGCTCAAGGCTAGTGCTCTACTACTTTGAGCCACAGCTCCACTTCCAGTTTTTGAGTAATTTATTGGAGATAAGAGTCTCACAGGAACTTTTCTGATTGGGCTGGCTTTGAACTGTGATCCTAAGATTTCAACCTGCTGGATTACAGGCATGAGCCACCAGTATGCACCAGCTCTAAGCATTCTTTCTTTTTGGCCAGTCCTGGGGCTTGAACTCAGGGCCTGGGCACTGTCTCTGCGACTCTCTGTGCTCAAAGTTAGCACTCTACCAATTGAGCCACAGCATGTCTGGCTTTTTCTATTTATGAGATACTGAGGAATGGAACCCAAGGCGTCATGCATGCTAGGTAAGGAATCTACCATGAAGCCACATTCCGAGCCTTCTAAGTGTTCTTATTTTGAGAAAATAGGATGAGGACAAGTAGTTGGGTGCTGATGACTCATGCCCACAATCCTAGCTGCTCAAGAGGCTGCAAAAGGCTGAGATTGGAGTTAAGGTTCAAAGACAGCCTGGGAAAACAAATCCAGTTAACCAGCAAAGAGCCAGAAGTAGAAAGGTAGCTGAAGTGAGAGAGTACCAGCTTTGAGAAAAACAGCTAAGAAAGAGGGCTGGGAAGGTGGCTCAGTGGTAGAGCGCTTGCCTTGCATTGATGAGGCCCTGGGTTCCATTCCTCAGCACCACATAAGCAGAAAAAAAAACAACCGGAAGTGGCGCTGTGGCTTAAGTGGTAGAGTGCTAGCCTTGAGGTGAAGAGCTGAAGGATAGTGCCCAGGCCGAGTTTAGGCCCCACAACCAGACCCCCCCCCCCCCCAAAAAAAAAGCTAAGCAAGAGCATGCAGCCCTGAGGTCAGGCTGGGTCGCATTTTAAGTGAGAGAAGAGCACTTGTGCCATTATTCTTCTCTTCATTCCAGACAAGCTTACTGATGAAACTCTCTGGGCCGGAGCAAGGCACCAAGGAGAGTGGGGCAGGAGTTGTGACCAAGGGGCTGGGAACACAGACTCCAGGTAGAGCAGAAGAAGGCAGTTCCTGGGCTATCTAGCTTGAATAATTCTTCCTAATGGACATTTGGATATAAATGTATTTAAATAAAGTTCATATATTTTAATTATAAAGTTGTCACATTTTTTTGTCGGTCATGGGGTCATGACAGTCTGGGCGCTGTCCCTCAGCTCTTCAACTCAAGGCTAGCGCTCTACCACTTGAGCCACACAACCACTTCCAGCTTTTCTTGCATATGTGGTGCTGAGGAATCGAACCCAGGGCCTCATGCATACAAGACAAGCACTCTACCACTGAGCCACTTTCCCTCACATATTTTTTTAAATGAACATACTATTTATAAACTATTAAACATTTCATTTGATTAATTTAAAACTGCTATTTCTTCTGAGGAGCAATAACCTAATGAATGCACAATATTACTGTGTTACTTATAAGAACAAGCACATTGCTTGTAATTTCCTCTAATATGGTTTTAAGTAACATCAGACCTGATGTAGAAATTTCATTTACTTTGGAAAATTTAGGTATTTTGAGAAATTTGTTAATCTTCTCAGGCTACTAAGACATGATTAAGGTAGCTCATTATTAAGGTACATATTAAAATGATGATTTCCTATAGTCTCTGAAAAACTGTTTTGACAGTCCATACTAAAACTGAAAGTATGCATACTCACTCCATGACCAAGCAATTCCATCCCTATGTACACATTCAACAGAAATGTATACATGTACTTGACTCACTAAAAGGCATGTAAGAATGTTCTCCATTGCAAAATTCATAATAGCTCAGACCTAGAAATTCCTTAAATTCACATCAATAGTAAACTTGATCATGAATTTTAGACATAATATCCACTTCATATAGTAAGACACACTTTACACGTGATTAAGAATCTTTCTTTTTCTTTGGGGGGGGGGGGGGTCCATCATGGGGCCTGAACTCTGGGCCTGGGCGCTGTCCCTCAGCTCTTCAGCTCAAGGCTAGCACTCCACCACTTGAGCCACAGCGCCACTTCCAGCTTTTTTCTTTTTGCTTATGTGGTTCTGAGGAATCAAACCCAGGCCTCATGCATGCAAGGCAAGCGCTCTACCACTGAGCCAACTTCCCAGCCCCTAAATTAAAAATCTTGAGATTGACTGTAATAGTTAAAGGGCTGTATGTAGAGTCTAAAGATCTGACTGTTCAAGAGAAGATGATGTGTTAACAGTAGGTTTTGACTATGGAGGAATGGGTCCGTAAGCTCAAGAATAGAGACAGAAATGGGAAGGTGGCTCAGTGGTAGAGTGCTTGCCTTGCATGCATGAGGCCCTGGGTTTGATTCCTCCGTACCACATAAGCAGAAAAAGCCAGAAGTGGCGCTGTGCCTTAAGTGGTAGAGTACTGGCCTTGAGCTTAAGAGCTGCCAGAGTTCAGGCCCCACAACTGAATAAATAAATAAATAAATAAATAATAGAGGCAGTCATTTGAAGCTGAAAAAGCTATCAAAACAGATTCTCCCCTCACTACCTTTATTTTTATTTTGCCAGTCCTGGGGCTTGAACTCAGGGCCTAGGCACTGTTCCTGAGCTTCTTTTGCTCAAGGCTAGCACTCTATCACTTGAGCTACAGTGCCACTTGTGGCTTTTTCTGTTTATGTGGTACTGAGGAATCGAATCCAGGGCTTCATGCATGCTAGGCAAACAATCTACCACTAAGCCACATTCCCAGCCTCCTCACCACCTTTAGAAAAAAAAAAAAAAAATCAATCCTTCCAATACCCTGATTTTGGCCCAATGAAAGTTTTGATTTCTAGGGGTACAAGATGATTAATCTGTATCATTTAAACCACTAAGTTTGGTGATTTGTTACATTTATCACAAAAATGATACATGAAAGAGGCATATTGCTGGGTGCTGGTGGCTCATGCCTTTAATCCTAGCTACTCAGGAGGCTAAGATCTGAGGATCATGGTTCAAAGCCAGCCTGGTTTGAAGCTAGCCTGGGCAGGAAAGTCTGTGAGAGCCTTATCTCCAATTAATCACAGAAAAAGCTAGAAGTGGAGCTGTGGCTCAAGTGGTAGAGCACCAGCCTTGAGCAAAAGGAGCTCTGGGACAGTAAGTACCCAGGACCACAGGTCAAACCCCAGGACCAGCAAAAAAGAAAAAGAAAGACTTTTGGGGATGTTCATACCATTCTTTTTTTTTTTTTTTAATGTTCATACCATTCTGTTTTCATCTAAAGACTAAAAACAGTAGTACATTTGATTTATTCAAACTTTATTTGTGTATGTTCTGTATGTATGGCATATATAATTTTATTTTATTTATTTTTTTTTTGGGGTCCGGTTGTGGGGCCTGAACTCTGGGCCTGGGCGCTGTCCCTCAGCTCTTCAGCTCAAGGCTAGCACTCTACCACTTGAGCCACAGCGCCACTTTCCGGCTTTTTTCTTTTTTGCTTATATGGTGCTGAGGAATCGAACCCAGGGCCTCAGGCTTGCAAGGCAAGCGCTCTACCACTGAGCCTTCCCAGCCCTGGCATATATAATTTTTTTTTTTTTTTTTTTTTTTGTCGGTCGTGGGGCTTGAACTCTGGGCCTGGGCGCTGTCCCTCAGCTCTTCAGCTCAAGGCGAGCGCTCTACCACTTGAGCTACAGCGCCACTTCTGGTTTTCTGGTGGTTTATTGGAGATAGGAGTCTCACGGTCTCTCCTGCCCGGGCTGGCTTTGAACCACTATCCTCAGATCTCAGCCTCCTGAGTAGCTAGGATTACAGGCGTGAGCCACCAGCGCCCGGCTGGCATATATAATTTTAAAAATTGGTATTTTTTTTTTTTTTGGTCGGTTGTGGGCCTTGAACTCTGGGCCTGAGCGCTGTCCCTCAGCTCTTCAGCTCAAGGCTAGTGCTCTACCACTTGAGCCACAGTGCCACTTCCAGTTTTCTGGTGGTTTATTGGAGATAAGTTTCACGGATTGGACTTTCCTGCCCAGGCTGGCTTTGAACTGCAGGGCTGGCTTTGAACCGCAATCCTCAGATCTTAGCCTCCTGAGTAACTAGGATTACAGGCATGAGCCTCTGGTGCCCGGCTGGTACCTTTTTTAATACATTAATTTTATAATCTGCTGAAAAAAGGTAATATTCAATGGGATGGGGAAAAAATCTTTAGAAAATAGAAATTATTTCTCCAAAACTACTGATTTTGCTTTTCTTTTCAAAAGACTAAAGTTCTGGGCTGGGAAGGTGGCTCAGTGGTAGAGTGCTTGCTTTGCATGCATGAGGCCCTGGGTTTGATTCCTCAGCATGACATAAGCAGAAAAAGCTGGAAGTGGCCCTGTGGCTTAAGTGTTCTGTAGAAAGCTAGCCTGGAGCTGAAGAGCTGAAAGGCAGTGCCCAAACCCAGAGTTAAGGCCCTATGAACAACAATAACAAAAAAAAAGACTAAAGTTCTGACAACTAGTAACAAATAATTGTGATTTTAAAACCTAAAAATAAACTGTTGCTTACCTAGCTTTGTTATGCATTGGTCCTAGAATTATAAATTACAAAAAAAAAAAAAAAAGGTGAAAAACACATTTTCTGAAATAACACTAAAGAAAGGAGAAAAGAGGCCAGTACATACTAAATGATCAAAATGTCTTTTGGTTTTAACATACCCAAAAGTAGTAAAAATGATAAGAATCTCCCGAAATAAGTAAATATAAGAACAATTTATAAAACACATCAGAATTTTATTGCTTGAAGAATACAGCATATGAAATCACAAGAATGTCAAAATGAAGTCACTAGACTTTAAACATATAATACATCATCAGATGCAGTAAAATATTAATTAACCTGAATCTGCATCAGAAAGAAAGAAGTATGGAAAAATATCTAAGTTGTTTACTTGAGAAGTAGATACACTCAAAATAGAAAGTAGAAGGATGTTACAGTACAAATTAGAAAAGCCAACACTTATTAACTTACTATTTTTCCTAGACTAGACTACCTTTGGTACTTAAAACTTTAAAAAAAAAAATCCTTTTATCTTGTCCAAACATACTTCATGGAACTGATACCCAGGAAGTAACTCAAAACAACTTCAACTTAAAAATATTCAGCAAAATTATTAACCTTTTTATCATGTAGGGGAAACATATTTGATAAATGTATAACAATATTTCCCTTTATCTAAAACTGTAAAATGTGGTCATTAAGAAATCTAATACTCACAAACTTTACTTACTTAGCTCTCCAATTAAAATTGGAATCCTAGCAGCTAGAATCTATTTCTGGGCTTGGTGAATATAGAAATTTAAATGACTTGGCAACTGACATAGGATTTAATTACTTCATATTATCTTAAGTGGCTTTTCTTTCTGTCTCCGACATACAAATAATATGCCATTTCTGCAATACATTGGATTCCTTTAACAATCACTACCAAACTTTATTACTGAAACCAAATTAAAGCTTTCTCCTTTAAGGAGCAGTTTGAAACTACTTAAGTTTCATACAGAGCTGATCAGTTATGACACACTTTCTTACACAACCAAACTTTTTAAAGCTATCATTCAATTAGGATGGAGAAAATAATGCCATGTCAAAAGATAGCGCTGGACTCTCTAAGCCATCTAGTCAAGAAAATGTATAGGTAGTGCTAAAAACAAACACTAGTAAACTACAACTACAAGTTAAATTAAAAAACAAACAAAAACCCTTTCTTATTAGCTTTCATTTCTTATTCCTAGCAAAGGTCTGAATATTCATGAATCTCAGTTAAACCAACGGAACCCAAGCAATTGTTTCAAAGTCCCACCTATATACTTGAAAACTATAAACACAGATGGACTAAGTAAGCAAGTAATACTATTAACAAGCATTGAACTGGAGTGAAATATAAGAATCCTGGCAGTCCTCAAAACTGAGCAGTCTTTTAAATATAATAGTGTAGCTCAAGATAAATTATACCATGATAGAACTAGCTTTTACCTCCACACAAAACAACAACAAAATAAAAAAATGTAACTCACCAAATTTATGTTAACTACTATTGAAGACACTCCTTTCCAAGCTGAATGTCTTCTTTTGAGGTTTTTCTAAATAAGTATATTTATCTGAGCATATTCTTACTGCCTGCATATATATATACTCATTATTTAAAAATTCAGACACTACAGAAATGAACTCCTTTTTTCACCAACCTGATCCAATACACCACATCACACCTAATTTAAAATTCCCAATTTTAGTTTGGTTAAAAGGGTAGAGGAAATGTAAATGCAGATTAAGAGCTTTTGTATAAATTTCACTATATTTTATAAACTTGAAGTTTTCTGTTAACACTGTTTATTGATCAAAGAAAGGGCTCACTGCTATCCAAAATTTCATAAACACCATTAAAAATTCAAAATTGATTATTATACTGAACCTTAAATTTTCAATAGTTCAAAGAGATAGTTTGTACACGTATAGCACACAATGTATGAAACTTAACAGTAGACACCCCTAGAATACCAATGGCAAGTCCACCAAGATGCATACAAAATTACAGATAAGCATTTCTTTCACTGTTTTCTTGTGCAAGGAAAAACATTTATAGAGGAAACAGAAACTCAGCTGGTGAATTTCAGATATCATCATCATCATCTTCGTCTTGAGAAGATCCTGCCTGATTGGATGCACTGGCTGAGGCAGCAGCAAGCTGGGCTTGTTGGGCAGCTTGCTGCATTTGAAGCCATTCCTGTTGGGCCAATTCTGCTTGTTGCTGTCTAGCCTAGACATTAAAAATACAAACACAAATAACTTTTTAAAGATATAAAAGCGGATTTAGCTTTGGTTAAATGTAAGCTAAGCCAATTAACATCCTTAATCCTTACCAAACTTGTATATTTCCAAACTACTATGTAGTTTAGCTCAATTTAAAAAACTGCAAGGCTGGGACGGTGGCTTAGTGGTAGAGTGCTTCCCTCACATTCATGAAGCACTGGGTCCGATTCCTCAGTACCACATACACAGAAAAAGCTGGAAGCGGCTCTGTGGCTTCAGTGGTAGAGTACTAGTCTTGAGAAAAACAAGCTCAGGAACAGTGCCCAGGCCCTGAGTTCAAGCCCAAGGACCAGCAAAAACAAAAAAAAAAACAAAAACAAAACTGCAAAGGTTGACAAAAATCACAACAGTATCTCTTTCCATCTTCTTGTGTTTCTCTTTTTTCCTTTCTTCTGTCCACTCACATTACAATTCTGATGTAAATACTTAATATAAAATTTTTTCAGGCAGGGCTCCAGTGGCTCATGGGGCTGAGATCTGAGGATCATGGTTCAAAGCCTGCCCAGGCATGAAAGTCTGTGAGACTCTTCTCTCCAATAAACCACCAGAAACCAGAAATGGCACTGTGGCTTAAGTGGAAGAGCATTAACCTTGAGCTGAAGAGCTGAGGGACAGTGGCCAGGCCCAGAGTTGAAGCCCCATGACCGACCAAAAAAACCCCAAAAACATTCTGTGGTTAAAGTTCTCCAGTACAATAGCTCCAAGTACTAGGGAAAGAGAATTGTACTTGAATGCAATACCTACTCAAATATTTCTCAAAGAATCTTTATAGGGCTGGGAAGGTAGCTCAGTGGTAGAGTGCTTGCTTTGCATGCATGAGGTCCTGGGTTCAATTCCTCACCACCACATAAGCAGAAAAAGCCAGAAGCTGAAGAGCTGAGCGACAGTGCCCAGGCCCAGAGTTCAGACCCCATAACCGACCACAAAAAAAAAAAAAAAAAAGAATCTTTATTTCTTACCTTTCATGTCAAGAATATCTATAAAATCAAAGGAGGGGGTAACAATGCTCAACAAGAAAGATACTCATTACTCATGTAATTGTAACCCCTCTGTACAGTTTCTTTACAATAAAATAAAATTTAAAAAAAAAGAAAGAAAATCTAGAAAATAAAACTTTTCTCATCTGGGCACTAGTGGCTCATACCTGTAATCCTAACTACTCAGGAGGCTGATATCTAAGGATCACAGTTCAAAGCTAGCCTGGAGGGCTGGGAAGGGGAAGTTGGCTCAGTGGTAGAGTGCTTGCCTTGCATGCTTAAGGCCCTGGGTTCGATTCCTCAGCACCACATAAGCAAAAAGAATAAAAGCCGGAAGTGGCACTGTGGCTCAAGTGGTAGAGCGCTAGCCTTGAGCTGAAGAGCTGAGGGACAGCGCCCAGGTCCAGAGTTCAGGCCCCACGACCGGACCCAAAAAAAAAAAAAAAAAAAAGCTAGCCTGGACAGTAAAGTCTGTAAGACTTATCTCCAGTAAATCACCAGAAAACCGGAAGAGGCACTATGACTTAGTCTTAGCAAAAAGAGCTCAAAGCACCTAGGCTTTGAGTTCCCGTCCCATGACTGACAAAAAAGAAAAAAAATTATCAAACGCACAGAACATTTTCTCATTCTTGGTATATTTATTCATTGACATTCCTTGAAATTTACTAATTTTTTTTTTTTTGGGGGGGGGTCAGTTGTGGAGCTTGAACTCAGACTGGGCTGTCTCTTGAGCTTCTTTGTGCTTAAGGCTAGCCATAGCGCCACTCTTGGCTTTTTCTGAGTAGTTTATTAGAGATAAGAGTGCTACATAGAATCAGAGGGAAATGAGAAAACATATAACAGAGGGGCCCATCAGCTGCACTGGACACTGATAAAAATGAACTAAGCAACTCAAAGGCAGCGATGCGAGGGAGGGAATGAGAGGGAATGAGGGAACAGCTTACATTAAGCAAAAGGAAAAAATGTAAATATCACCTGATGTGGGAGAAATAGTTGTATTGTCAAAACTCAAACTTTATAGACCATGATAATGACAATTTGCCTTGTAAAGGTTAAAATGTGTTTGTGACTTTAACTAAGTATCACTATTCTACAATACTGTGAAATATGTGAAATTTATGTAATCACCTAATTTCAATAAAAAATTTAAAAAAAGAAAAAAAGAACGTTACGGACTTTCCTGCCTGAGCTGGCTTTAAACCTTTATCCTCAGATCTTAGTCTCCTGAGTAGCTAGGACTCTAGGTGTGAGCCATCAGTACCTGGAGAAATTTACTGATTTTTGTCTACTGAAATTGTGTCATGGAGCTGGAAGTAGGGCTTAGTAGTAGAGTGCTTGCCTAGAATACATGAGGCCCTGGGTTTGATTCCTCAGCAACACATAAACAAACAAACAAATACCCTTCCTCAAAATCAAACTGAAATTATTTTCTACTCCCAGTATCAATCTCTATGTAATAAGCAGGCAGAAGTTATGCTAGTTATGGAAATGAGGAATTTAATGTAAAGGATTTTAAGTTAACCAAGTATAAAGCTAGTGACAGGCTGAGTGCCAGTGGCTAAAGCCTGTAATCCTAGATACTCAGGAGGCTGAGATCTGAGGATCACGGTTCAAAACCAGCCTGGGCAGGAAAGTCTGTGAGACTTATCTACAATAAACAACTAGAAAACTAGAAGTGGCATTGAGGCTCAAGTGGTAGAGTGCTCCCCTTGAGCTGAAGACCCGAGGGACAGCGCCCAGGCCCAGAGTTCAAGCCCCACAACCAACCCAAACCACCCCCCCTCCAAAAAAAACCCCAAAAAGCTAGTGAAAGGCAACTGGAAAAGCATGAAGAGAGCACTAAGATATTATAGATGTGTCAACTACAGGGGACAGCCACCAATGCTATAACTGGAGAACAAAAGAAGAGGCTGGAATTTTAAAAGTTGTAAGTTTAAAGGAACAATCATATGGAACTGAGACTCATACCTCTCATTAAAGAGGCATAAATTAGCTGGTATTAATGACCTGAGCTTGGAGGACCCAAGGATTGGGATCCACACCCATAAGGGAGAGGGTACCAGGACAGGCGGGTTCTGTAAGTATTAGACAAAATTCTAACTGGATTCGTTTTCTGCTGCAGGACAAACTGGTGCAGCCAGACTAAAGTACTCCTGGGGTGTGGTGGAAAACACAGGTAATCCTAGCATTTAAGAGGTGAAGGAAGGAGGATGTTGAGTTCTGGTCCAGCTTGGGCTACAGAGTAAGGTCCTGTCTCTAAAATTAAAACCAAAACCATGGAGCTTCATGGAACTCAGCTATGGTGCTAATTTAGAAGAGTTTACTTAAAATAATACTCCTCAGTTCTAATGGCTACTACAGTACCTTACAGGAATTCTGATTTTTTTTTTTTTTTTTTGTCCAGTCGTGGGGCCTGAACTCTGGGCCTGGGCGCTACCCCTCAGCTCTTCAGCTCAAGGCTAGCACTCTACCACTTGAGCCACAGCGCCACTTCCAGCTTTTTTCTTTTTGCTTATGTGGTGCTGACGAATCAAACCCAGGGCCTCAGGCATGCAAGGCAAGCACTCTACCACTGAGCCACCTTCCCAGCCCAGGAATTCTGATTTTTATTCTATCTAAAACACTTCCAACTAAGAGAACCTAGTGAAAGAGGCGAGAGGGAGCCAGGCATGGCGGTACTTGGCCATCATCATAGCACTAGAAGACTAAGGCAGGAGGACCTCAAATTCAAAGCCAACCAGGCCTGAATATGAAGCCAGCCTGAGGAAGTGGTACTGTGGCTCAGTGAAAGAGCTCTAACCTTGAGCAAAAGAGCTCGGGGACAGAGCCCAGGCCATGAGTTCAAGCCCCAGGTCCAGCAAAAAAAAAAAAAAAAAAAAAAAGCCAACCTAAGCCAGTATTTTTTTTTTTTTTTGTCGGTCGTAGGGCTTGAACTCTGGGCCTGGGCGCTGTCCCTCAGCTCTTCAGCTCAAGGCGAGCGCTCTACCACTTGAGCTACAGCGCCACTTCCGATTTTCTGGTGGTTTATTGGAGATAGGAGTCTCACGGTCTCTCCTGCCCGGGCTGGCTTTGAACCTCGATCCTCAGATCTCAGCCTCCTGAGTAGCTAGGATTACAGGCGTGAGCCACCAGCGCCCGGCTAGCCAGTATTTCTTAACTAAAAACAAAACCAAGCTGGCACCAGTGGCTCATGCCTGTAATCCTAGCTACTCAGGAGGTTGAGATCTGAGGATCACGGTTCAAAGCTAGCCTGGGCAAGAAAGGGCAGGAAAGTCTATGAGACTCTTATCTCCAATAAACCACTCAGAAAACTGGAAGTGGCACTGTGGCTCAAGTGGTAGAGCACTCACCTTGAGCTGAAGAGCGCAGGGACAGAACCCAAGAACAGAGTTCAAGCCCCACGACCAAAAAAAAAAACAGCTGAAAATGTGGCTTAATGGTACTAGCAAGTGTGTGACTCTGAGTTCAACCCCCACCCCGCAAAATACAAAAATTACCTTGCCACCTTTTCTTGCTCTAATTATTTGAAATAGAGGAATATCACTAATGGTGCTAATCCTTCAGACTAGGTAGTAGAATTGTAACAGGAAAGTTTTTTTCCTTCTCTGCTTTATTATCCCTTTGAAAAAATAGAATAAAGGTAACCACCCAATTTAACTGCAAAGTAAAAATGTTACCATATTTTCTTTATGCCATTAATCATAAAATCTGACTCAGGATTTTTTTTTGTGTATATGCCAGTTCTAGGGCTTGAACTCAGGGCTTGGGAGCTTTTGAGCTCAATGCTAACACTCTACCACTTGAGCTACAGCTCCACTTCTGGCTTTTATTTTGGTAGTTGATTGGAGGTTAAGAGTGTCACCAATATTCCTGCCCATGTTGGCTTCAAACTATAAACATTAGATCTCAGTCTCCTGATACCTAGGGTGAGCCACCAGTCCCTACTGACTCAGTATTCTTATTAGCCTAACATTTTAAACCTAAGGATGTTAGGTATATTTCTTCCTTTTTTTTTATCGGTTGTGGGGCTTGAACTCTGGGCTTGGGCACTGTCCCTACGCTCTTCAGCTCAAGGCGAGCGTTCTACCTCTTGAGCCACAGCGCCACTTCCACTTTTTTAGTGGTTTATTGGAGATTAGAGTCTCATGGACTTTCCTGCCCAGGCTGGCTTTGAACCACAATCCTCAGATCTCAGCCTCCTAAGTAGCTAGGATTACAGGCGTAAGCCACCAGTGCCCAGCACTTTTTTCTTCTTTTAAATGATCATTCTGCCTGAGAAAATATCAAAGTAAAATCATAACTATTATTTCAAGAGGCTCTTTTTAATTTACTTTTATGTAAACCAGAGTCAAACTGGGAAGCTCTAAGTATCAGACTCTACAATCAAGTAATTATACAGAGACTATACTTTTTTTTCTTTTGTGCAGTCCTGGGGCTAGAATTCAGAGACTGGATACTGGCCTTGAGCTTTTTTGTTCAAGGTTAGCACTCTTCCACTTGAGCCACAGCTCCACTTCTGGATTTTTGGTGGTTAATTGGAAATAAGCGTCTCATGGACTTTCCTGCCAGGGCTAGCTTCAAACCACAAACCTTAGACTTCACCCTCTTCAGTAGCTAAGATTATGGGCATGTCCACCAGTGTTCAGCATGTATTACTTACTTTTGCAAATAATTCCTGTTGCTGTCTTAACAACTCTTCTTCAGGAATGCCAAGGTTTTCCAAACGGGAACTAGCCTTTCTTCTTTTTAATGCAACTGTCTTGCATTCTTGTAAAACTTCTTTCACTTCACTGATGTATGAACCGAAGCCCAAACTTTCCAGTGCTAAAAAAAAAAATGATAGTAAGATATAACTTTTTTCTCACCAATGGAACACAAAGTTTTGTGCTATTTCACCCCCACCCTTCCATGTCGCTGTTTTCTAGTAATTTTTGTCTATTTTATAGTTATACAGCAACTGTTTAGGTGGCTAAGATAAATTTTTATTAACTTCTTAAAGAGTAGATTGTAAATAAGTTAAAAGTAATGAAACATTTCAAAGAACAGGCATTTTTCTTTCTTTTTTTTTTTTTTTTTTTTGTCGGTCGTGGGGATTGAACTCTGGGCCTGGGCGCTGTCCCTCAGCTCTTCAGCTCAAGGCGAGCGCTCTACCACTTGAGCTACAGCGCCACTTCCGGTTTTCTGGTAGTTTATTGGATATAGGAGTCTCACGGTCTCTCCTGTCCCGGCTGGCTTTGATCCGTGATCCTCGGATCTCAGCCTCCTGAGTAGCTAGGATTACAGGTGTGAGCCACCAGTGCCCGGCTTTCTTTCTTTTTTGTGTCTATATTAGAACTGGAACTCAGAACCTTGGCACTGTCCCTTAGATTCTTCTTTGCTCAAAGCTAGTGCACTACCACTTGACCCAGCTCCTCTTCTAGCTTTTTGGTGGTTAAGTGGAGTTGAGTCTCAAAAACTTTCCTGCTGGTATCAAACCACGATCCTCAAATCCTGCTGGTGTCACACCACAATCCTCAGATCTCAGTTTTCTGAGAAGCTAGGATTACAGGTATAAACCCTCAGGCACCCAGCTCTTCCTTTTTTTTTTTTGATTGGTGGTGGGGCTTGAACTCAGGACCTGGGTACTGTCCCTGAGCTATTTTGCTCAAGGTTAGCACTCTACTTCCAGCCTTTTGGTGGTTAATTGTAGATAAGAATCTTAAGAGATATTCCTTTCCCAGCTAGCTTTGAACCTCCATCCTCAGATCTCAGCTCCTGAGTAGCTAGAATTACAGGCATAAGCTACCGGCACCTGGCTCCTTAGTTTTTAGAAGACCACAGTATTGGGCTGGGAAGGTGGCTCAGTGGTAGAGTGCTTGCCTTGCATGCATGAGGCCCTGGGTTCGATTCCTCAGCACCACATAAATAGATAAAGCCAGAAGTGGCGCAGTGCCTCAAGTGGTAGAGAGCTACTAGCCTTGAACTGAAGAGCACAGGGAGAGCTCACCCAGGCCGAGTTCAAGACCCACAATCAAAAAAAAACAAAAACAAAAAGACCATAGTATTTCCTGTGAGGAAAAACAAGAGGTCCTGAAGTAACACATGGTTTTAAAGAAAATATCTTTTCTCTACCATTCAACTAAGTCAAGCATGACTAAGTCAAGCATGAAGTCTTTAAAAAATTCAAAAAATTTAGCCAGGCATTAAAAAAATTCAAAAAATCTAATGTATTTGAATTTGTAATATTTTTGTTAATAATGGCTTATGATTTAGCTTAGGGAACATAGGCTGCTAATAAAAGCTCTACTTAGCTTCAGTGGGATAAGAAGAAAGAATAGATAATTTTTTTCCTTTGTTCAATGTACCAACAGGTTATGCTGGTATAAGTATGTAACCCTAGCACTCAGGAGGCTGAGACAGGACCAGCCAAGTTAAAGGCCAGCCTGAGTCACACAGTTAGTCCTAGCTTAGAAAAAAAGTAAAAATTAGCAAAAAATAAAATAAAAATACATAACTCAGTATTCTCTATTGTCTTGTCCCTTTTATGGGAAGAATATAATATAGTTCTCTTAAAATACATTAAGAGGATGTAGCCAAAGTGGCTCTTGGCTCATTAGCCTGGTAAAGGTTTTTGAAGACCTTTAGGAACCATGCCCTCCATGGTTTCACTGCTCCCAGGTCAGCAGAGAATGAGTAATGGCAGAGAACAAACTCTACCACAATGGCACATACTTAGCAGTATTCAGGAACAGCTGGGTGACAAAAGGAAAACATCATCCAGTGGCAGAGCACCTGGCAAGTATGCTTGAGGCCCTGGGTTCTATCCCTAGCACAAACCCTACCAAGGTTAATAGGTCAATTTTAAGAAAAACTTCTGGTTATGTGTTAACTTACATAGTGCAAATTAGACATATCCCTTTGGAAAAAATATTCTGAATAACTATTTAAGCAACATAGAATCCTCCTTCTCCTCTAATTTCAAAATTACTTCACATTCACTTTCCAGATTAGATTGTGGTTTAGCTTCAGAGTAAGACTACTTGAAGTGTGGTCCATGGACTTGTGCCAGATGGGTTTGTAATGGTTATTGCTTGTAATAGTTGTGACAAGTTAAAAATCGAAATTCAAAGTAAGCGTTTAAGAATCTTTATAAAAATTTGATAGTCTGGGCTGGGAAGGTGGCTCAGTGGTAGAGCACTTGCCTTGCATGCCTAAGGCCCTGGGTTCGATTCCTCAGCACCACATAAGAAAAAGGAAAAAAGCCGGAAGTGGTGCTGTTGCTCAAGTGGTAGAGCGCTAGCCTTGAGCTGAAGAGCTGAGGGACAGTGCCCAGGCCCAGAGTTCAAGCCCCAGGACCGGACCCAAAAAAAAATGACAGTTTTATGTCTATTATTTTTTCTTTTTTATTAAGTTTTTTTATTGTGAAAATACCACACAGAGGGGTTACATTACATGAGCAAGGTAATGAGTACATTTCTTATCAAGCATTGCTGCCTCCTCCTTTGTTTTCCCTTACCATCCTTGCCTTCCCACCCCCCCCCCATCTATTATTATTTATATATCTAACGAGAAAAAAAACTAAGGTTCTGGTATGATTTTATCATTTTGCTTTTCAAGTGATTCATTTTTATTGTATTTTATAAAAGTACCAGTATAGCCAGCCGCTGGTGGCTCATGTCTGTAATCCTAGCTACTCAGAAGGCTGAGATCTGAGGATCATGGTTCAAAGCCAGCCAGGGCAGGAAAGTCCATGAGACTCTTACCTCCAATAAACCACCAGAAAATCGGGAGTGGCTCTGTGGCTCAAGTAGTAGAGTGCTAGCCTTGGGCTGAAGAGCTGAGGGACAGCGCCCAGGCCCAGAGTGGAAGCCCCACAACTGATCCCCCCCCCCCCCAAAAAATTACCAGTATAGAAAGATCTGGCTTTTTTTTTTTTAATGTGTTTTAGTACCACTTAGAGCAACTCATTGGATGAAGAAGTAAACTCCGTTACCTTTTTCAAGCTTTCACAACTTTTTTTTTTTTGGCCAGTCCTGGGCCTTGAACTCAGGGCCTAAGCACTGTCCCTGAGCTGCTTTTGCTCAAGGATACAACTCACCACTTGAGCCACAACACCACTTCTGGTCTTTTCTGTTTGTGATACTGAGGAATTGAACCCAGGGCTTCATGTATGCTAGGCAAGCACTCTACCACTAAGCCACATTCCCAGCCTATTTCCTGGGGCAGGGAGAGAAGAATTTCCAGCACAGAGCTTACACCTCTTGATTTTCAATGTCAGTTCTTTCCATAATATTACAGATGTTATAACTTATTCAAGAATGTGTTCACACAATTTGCCTCATGAAGGTTAGAATGTGTTTGTGACTTTAACTATCACTATGTCAAAATACTGTGAAATTTGGGAAATTTATGTAATTACTTCATCACAATAAACAAATTAGTTTAAAAAAAAAAAGAAAGTGTTCACAAAAACTAGTAAAGAAATAAACAGCCACAGCACCACTTCCAGCCTTTTCTGCTTATTTGGTGCTGAGGAATCGAACCCAGCACCTCATGCATGCGAGGCAAGCACTCTAAGCCACCTTCCCAGCCCAATTATTCCGATCTTAGTTGGTATTTTTGTAACTTTGTCAGAAGGTTTAACTTACTTTGACAAGGGAAAGCCAAACAACTGAAAAAATGCAATGGCCTAAAGTATAGGCTAGTCGATTAATGTTACTAAAAGCCCAAGCTCAAGCATGTAAAAACCATACAACTTTAAAAGGCACATTAACATAATGTAACAAATACATGGTATTATTCCATGTGGATATATTCTATATCCCCAAATATCAATGCTAATTTTATTTATTTTTTTGGGTCTGGTCGTGGGACCTGAACTCTGGGCATGGGCGCTGTCCCTCAGCTCTTCAGCTCAAGGCGAACACTCTACCACCTGAGCCACAACACCACTTCTGGTTTTCTGGTGATTTACTGGAGATAAGAGTGTCATGGAGTTTCTTGCCCAGGCTCGCTTTGAACTGAGATCCTCAAATCTCAACCTCCTGAGTAGCTAGGATTACAGGCTTGAGCCACTGGCACCCAGCTAAGCATTTCTTTAAAAACTTAGTTTCACAAAGCCAGACGCTCTGTGAGACTCTTATCTTCAATAACCAACCAGAAAACCGGAAGTGGCACTATAGCTCAAGTGGTAGAGCACTAGCCTTGAGCTGAAGAGCTGAGGGACAGGGCCCAGGCTCAGAGTTTTAAATCATGACCGACAACTTCTCAAAACATCTTTATAAATGAACTTATGCATAAAATCTATTTCAACTAGAGTGGAACTTTCTTTTTTTTTTTTTTTTTTTTTGCCAGTCGTGGACCTGAACTCTGGGCCTAGGCGCTGTCTCTCAGCTCTTCAGCTCAAGGCAAGTACTCTACCACTTGAGCCACAGCGCCACTTCTGGCTTTTTCTGTTTAGGTGGTGCTGAGGAATCGAACCCAGCACCTCATGCATGCAAGGCAAGCGCTCTACCACTAAGCCACCTTCCCAGCCCTAGACTGGAACTTTCTGACTCATATTAAACTGAAGTTGGCATATACTAAAGTTGAACGATTAAATATACTGCTAGTTACAGCTGCACTTTTATACCATCATGTCAATCAAAAATCTAAATATATGCTTGAAAAGAATAAGCTCTCCTCAAAAAAGACAGACTGTAATGTGTTATTAATTTTTGGAACCATCCCCACTAGTGTACTGTAAACAAATGTATTAGACAAATCCTTTGAAATCTTTTGCAATTTTCATTAAAAAGGCAACGTTGACTAAAGGTTCTTTTCTTTGTATGTTATAAAAGGAAACTATAGTAATTTATGTTGGAAAATACTGTGACCCATGTGAGTGATCACATACATAATGTAAAAATAAAAACACAAAAGGAAAAATAGACAACTTGGTTTTCATTTTACTTGCTACTCAGCACACTAAACCAGCAGAAAACAATACTAATTTTAAGAATTAAATATGCAGCCAAGTATGGTGGTACATGTCTGTAATTCTCAGCATGTGGGCACTGAGGCAGGAGCATCTCCAGGTATAGCCTGGGTTTAACAGCAAAATCCTTTTATTCCCACTCCTCTTCCTCCCACCCCCCAAAAAAAACAAATATACTTTGTCCTAGCAGTTTTTCTCCAATGTGCTGAAATGGCAGAGTACATACATCTTCCATTGTAGGAAAAAGGCTCTGGGTCTACACACACACAGATAACAAACACCTATATATACATACACATATACATATAATGTATACACAGAGATCCTTGCAAGCAAGCACTTTATCACTGAGATATATACCCAGCCAGACAGGGTATATTTTAAATTTACTTTCAGGATACATAAAACATCAAAGTGAACCATTTGATCTTTTGTCCATATTGACAATAAAATATAGATAAGGTCAATATGAGCAGATGTGTTCTCCGTTTAACAATAACAGCAAAAGTCAGAATATTATTACTATTATTATTATTGGTCTTGGGGCTTGAACTCAGGGTCTAGGAGCACGATCCCTAAGTTCTTTCATTCAAGGCTAGTGCTCTACCAGTTGGAGACAGGGTGCTACTTCTGGTTTTCTGGTGGTTAACTGGAGGTCAGAGTCTCACAGCCTTCCCTGCCCAGGTTGGCTTCAGAACTCAAAACCTCTGATCTTAGCCTCCTGAGTAGCTAGCATTAAGGCATGAGGCACCAGCACCAGGCTCGAAGTCAGATTATTAAAAAGTAATAAAAATACCAGGAACCAGTGGCTCACGACAACACCAGGCCCTGAGTTCAAGATCCTGGAGCAGTGCGCACACACACACACACAATAAAAATGATAGAGAAGGGTTTAAGGCCCCAAGTTTGATTCCCCCATCCATGTAAACAAAAAAATAAAAATTATAGGGCTGGGAAGGTGGCTCAGTGGTAGAGCACTTGCCTTGCATGCTCGAGGCCCTGGGTTCGATTCCTCAGCACCACATAAGCAAAAAGAAAAAAAAAAGCCGGAAGTGGAGCTGTGGCTCAAGTGGTAGAGCACTAGCCTTGAGCTGAAGAGCTGAGGGACAGCGCCCAGGCCCAGAGTTCAGGCCCACGACCGGACCCAAAGAAAAAAAATAAATAAATAAAAATTATAGAGAACTGTTTATGAATGTGATTAAATTTGATGGATTCTTTTGTAACTTCAAAAGGAATAAAAACTGTGATTTTAATTGATTATTACTAAAAAGTTATCACATCAAATTGAAGGCAACTTTAAAAAAAAAATCATTGTAAGCCGGGCGCTGGTGGCTCACGCCTGTACTCCTAGCTACTCAGGAGGCTGAGATCTGAGGATCGCGGTTCAAAGCCAGCCTGGGCAGGAGAGACCGTGAGACTCCTATCTCCAATAAACCACCAGAAAACCAGAAGTGGCGCTGTAGCTCAAGTGGTAGAGCACTCGCCTTGAGTTGAAGAGCTGAGAGACAGTGCCCAGGCCCAGAGTTCAAGCCCCACGACCGACCAAAAAAAAAAAAAAATCATTGTGACTAGTAATTATCCCTCACCAAAACTACATCAGAATAGTATCCCAAATCCGTATTACTGAACTCATTCCTTTCCAAAATAAGAAGAAACGCACTCTTCAGAAGTACATTTCAATAGCTTAAGTGTGTGAATATATATGTAAATATATACACATTCGCACACATACAATACATATGCACATACACACACACACCGAAATTGGAATGGCTGCAGGAAAGGGAAAAGTTCCATTTAAAAAAAATCATCTTCTGACCAGCTGTGGCAGTAGTATTCTTCTGTAATCCCTGCAATCTTAACTGAGGTAGGAGGATTGACAGTTTGAAAGCAGAGTGGGCTACATAGTGAGACCCTGTACCATAAAGAAAAAACTCTTTCACATAAGCTTTCAACCCAAGCTTTTAAGTCTTATCTCCAAAGATCAAAACAAAAAGTTTTTACTTTTTTTTTTCCAGTCCTGGGGCTTGAACTCATGGCCTAAACTTATCCTTGAGCCTCTTTGTGCTCTCGACTGTACCTCTACCACTTGAACCATAGTTTTTTGGAGATAAGAATCTCACGGAATTTTCTGCCTGGGCTGGCTTTGAACCCTGATCCTCAGTTTTTACCCTCCCGAATAGTAATCTTACCTAGGATTACAGACATGAGTTACCGGTGCCAGACTAGTTTTTACTTGTCTTTAAAAAAAAAAAAAAAAAGTAGAGAAAATGTGGAACATTCACCTTTTTCTTAAGACAAGAGAAGGAGGACTTTGGTAACCTGTTGATGAAGGTTCTCTGATCAAATCAGATTTAAGGCAGAAAATAGACTCCCTTTATTGAACAGCAATAAGAGTTATACTGAACTCAAACGTTAAGCCTCTCTCCCACCCATTTGCTGGGGTTGGAATCCAGAATCTTGTAGGCTAATCTAGCACTCCCCAATTGAGCTACAAACAATCCCTGCCCCAGAATTTTTTTGTGTTCAAAAAGTGAAGTTTTTCCTTAAAACTGGTGAAAAGGTCAGGTGAGGAAGGGATGCTCTGACTCCATTCATGCTTGAAGTTCAGTCTAAATTTTAACTACAACGGGAAAACATTCTCATGTTCAACTTTGTAAGCAGGCAATTCTGGTGGCTTTTAAGATCTGGTCGTAAACAGTATTTTTTTTTTTAATGTTTGGGTTGACCTGCATTCGCTGAATGAAAGGTGCGAAGATTGACACCAGTAGTTGTGATCTCCCTGTCCCTGTGGCTTCCTCATTAACAGAACTCAACAGTTAAAAGGAATGAAGGTTTTTGACAGGCGACGGATCATCTTCACCAAAACCCACCCAAGCCACTTACCTTGTATGACATGCTCTGGGGAGATGGTTTTCTTCTCCGATTTATTGCAGATCTCGTTGGCTTCGGAAGATATAAGGTGAATAAATTCAGTGCAGCAGTTCACCACCAGCTCGCGGGCATCGTTGGCCACACGGACATTGGGGAGAGTCTCTTTGATCATTTTATTTATAGCAGCTCTGGGGATAGTAAGATCGTCATCGTTGCCAGAGGAGGAGGCCATCGTACCTTCCTGTCTGGTCGAGCCCAGACTTGAGACGCCCCCCTCCCCCCGCCTTCCCCCGCCTCCGGTCCACTCCTCTGCCCGGACTTCTGCCCCCGCCGCCCAGAGAGCGATCCCGGGGAGGCCCCCGCTCGGAGGAGAGGGTGCCGAGCCCAGGAAGGAGGCTTGGAGTTGTGGACAAGGCGGGGAGCACCCGATCGTGGGCGAGTTCCGAGAGGCGGAGGCGGGGGACCCCCGGTCGGGGGCGGGAAGCGCGGCGCTCGGAAAGCGGAGCGGCTACGAGGGGTCGTCCAACCGGACCTCAACCGTGCCGGGGACAGAGGCAAGGTCCGGGGCTCCCGGCCTGGCCGCGGTACCGGGGGGACACCCAGTGGGCTCGGCTCTACAGAACCGGAGTCGCCGCCGCCGCCGCCGCCGCCGCCAGCAGCCGTTGCCGCCGCCGCCGCCGCCAAACCATCCTCCAGACACCCGCGCCGCCGCCTCACAACATGTCGGCCGCGGCCGTCGCTAGAACCCCGGCGGCCGCGTGGGGACGAATACGGACAGAGCCAAGCCCGGAGGAACCGTAGTGTCGGTCGCTGCGGCCGTTTAGCCGAACGCACGTCGTGAAAGGCGAAGCAGCAGCAACGGCGGCCTCTCCGGAGACCGGAGAGGACAGGTTTGCTGGAAGCCGCTCCCGACACGCTTTGCGCCACCGGAAGTCTCGTCCCCTCCCTCCTGGACTGATTTCCGGGTGTGGCCGCGGCTCTGCCCCCCACCCGCGCTGGCGGGAACCGCCCACACACGCCGGCCGCGGCCCCGCCCGGCCCGCGCGTCCCCTGCGTGCGGTGCCCGCGCCCCAGTCACGGAGCTGCTCTGCAGCTGGGCGCCAGGCCCAAGGAAGGGTGCGAAGGCCCGGGTGACTGGTGTCCGCCCTCCCGGGCCCGCGAGTGGGGACAAAGGCGCGGACGCGTGTCGCCAGAACCTTCTTGATGTCCCCTGACCGCCCCGACCGAGGCTGGGCGGCCTGAGGCCCGCTCTCGCTTGTGGCGTGCAGCTTTGGAGGAGAGCCAGGCGCGTGGGACCGGGCGGCGGCCCTCCGCCCACTTCCTCCGATGCCCTGAGGGGTGGGAGGCCGGTCGCCGCCGCGGGCCGGGCCGGAAGCCGGAGCTCAGACCCCGCGGCGGGCCGGAGGTTCCCGCTCGGCCGCCCCGGGCGCCCCGCCCCGCCGCCTCGGGAGAGAGGAAACCCCGGGGCTCGTCGGGCCTCCGGCGACGAGGACCGGCTACGGTTTCTGGTTCCTTCCCTATCTGCATTTTTCCACAAACGAAGTTTGTTCCGTGCTGCCACGTGGAAGCGGGGACTACGTGTCTGGATGGGGTGTTGTAAAAGGGTAAACCACTTCAATCGGTCGGGCACTCAAGTTCACCAGAGTCCTTTGGCCTTCATGTTGTAGATGCCACGCGGCTTATTTGGAGTGCTTCCAAGACACTTACACCCTATCACGTTGTATTTTAGTTGCACTTGGAGAGCCAAGCGGGCTTAGCCCAGTCCTACATTATTTTTTCATTTAACATTTTCTCCAGAACACTTGATGGCTACTTTTTCGTGGGGCTTGAACTCAGAGCCTGGGCACTGTCTTTGAACTTTTGCTCAAGGACTCTATCTACAGAACCTATCACCAGAACCACAGCGCTTCCCGCTTTTTCTGTGTACGTGGTACAGGGGAATCGAACCCCGGGATTCATGCATCCTAGGCAAGCATTACCACTAAACCACATTCCAACCCCTGAGATTTTATTTATTTTTAATTTTTTTATTATGAAAATACTGTACAGAGGGGTTACAATTATATGGGCAAGATAATGAGTACATTTCTTACCAAGCATTGTAGCAGGACTCCTCCTTTGTTTCCCATCCCATCCGCCCCCCCTCCGTTTTTTTTTTTATTATTATTATTAGAAAGTACTATGTAGTGCTAGTGTTTATTGTCAGATCCAGGTCATCTTCAGTAATAAAACACATGTAATATGGCTGAAATTTAATGTACCAATCCGTACTGGTATTTTAAATAGACTGAGTGTGTGTGTGCACCGGTACTAAGGCTTGAACTCAGGGTCTAGATGCTATCCTGTAGCTTCTTTTGCTTAAGGCTTGTGCTTTACCACATGAGCCATACCTCTGTAAGGTCTGCTCCTGGATGGCGAGCAGACTCCATCCTCCTAGCAGCAAAGTCTAGCCTAAGTACGTTACCTAGGCAACTGGCAAACCTGAGAGAGGTCATATCTGCATCTGCTGAGGTCACATCTGAATTTCTCCGCCCATACCCTAGATAAGGCCTAACCCAGACCCTAACGCTCTCTTTTCCAGGTCTTTCCCCACGGCTTGGAGAGCCAACATGGCCTGGTGCCAGCCAGAACGATGAATAAACCTACCCCTTACCTGAATAACACATGCGTGGTGTGGTGTGTGGTGTGATTCTTACCCGGCAACCTCTTTTTAAAAATCTAACAACCTCCACTTTCAGCTTTTTGCTGCTTAATTGGAGAAAAGAATCAATGGATTTTCCTACCCAGGCTGACTTCAAACCACACTTGCCAAACTCATCCTCCTGAGTAGCTAGGATTAGACATAAGGCACTAGCTAGCACAGACTTGTTTTTGGTTTTTTTTTTTTTTAAAGTCTTGCCATGCAGCTCAGGCTGGCCCCAAATGAATTCTCCTTCCTCTACCTCTCAAGTGCTGATATTACAGACATGCACTACCACACCTAGCTTCCTTTACTTTTTAAAAAGTTCATCTAGTTTTTAAAATGTTATACTAATTTTACCACACTAGAGGCTATGAGAAAGATTACTTTTTCTAAGTTACAAATGTACTCATGTTCACAATAGGGCTTGTAAAACGAATCCTTGAGCAATAAATCTAAGTTTTAGTTAGCAAAACTCTGGTAATCACTGACCCATAGATATTGTATCAGCTTTTTCTTGCCATTAAAACGCTGCCGTGGCTGGGAAGGTAGCTCAGTTTTAGAGTGCTTGCCTTGCATGCATGAGGCCCTGGGTTTGATCCTTAGCACCACATAAGCAGAAAAAAAGCTGCAAGTGGCAGTATGGCTCAAGTGGTAGACGCTTATCTTGACCTGCGGGACAGCGCCCAGGCCCAGCATTCAGGTCCTACGACCAGCAAAAATAAAAAGTAAAAAGCTGCCTTGCCAGGTGCTGGTGGCTCAACCTTGTAATCCTACCTAAACACTCTGGAGGCTTGAGATGTGGGGATCATGGCTCAAAGCCAGTCCAGGCAGAAAAGTCTGAGACACTTATTTCTAGTTATACTCCAGAAAACCAGAAGTAGAGATGTGGCTTAAAGGGGTAGAGCACTATCCTTGAGCAAAAGAGCTCAGAGACAGCACCCAGGCCCTGAGTTCAAGCCCCAAGACAAAAAAAAAAAAAAAAAAGCTGCCTAACCAGCCACCCCAAAGGTCGGTGGATTAAAACAATAGCTGTGTCTGGGCACTGGTGGCTCACGCCTGTAATCCTAGCTACTCAGGAGGCTGAGATCTGAGGATCACAGTTCAAATCCAGCCCAGGTAGGAAAGTCTGTGAGACACTTAAATCAACCATCAAAAACTGGAAGTGACACTGTGGCTCAAGTGGTAGAGCGCTTGTCTCTCAGGGACAGTACCCAGGCCCAGAGTTCAAGCCCCATGAACAACAAAGAAAAAAAATAGCTGTGTATTATTTCTTAGGAGTGTCTATATTAGTTGAGCAGCTCCTCTGGGATTTTTTTTCTAAGTCAGCTGTGGATTGGGTAGGTGGCTTTATGGATTTGGGCTAGACTCACATATTTTGGTAACCAGCTGGCTGCCACCAGATTTAGAAAGGCCTTCTTTTCCATTCTCTGGCACTTTTCTCCAGCAGGTAAGCTTGGGCATGCTCTTGTGAGGAAGCGGGAACTGTTTACCTGTTTATCTGTTTACTCAGCAGGTCTCCTATGTGCAGGGCACTGTGATGAGAGTGGGAGGGTCACGTGAGAAATTGAAAAACTTGGCATCTAAACAGTAAGCTCAAGGGGACACAGTGTAGCAGGGCCATGATTGTCACAGGTCCCCCAGCACAATGGAGGACCTTCCACAACAGAGCTGCTGTTTGCTGTGGTTTGGATATGGTTTGAGGGTCCCCGATACAGAGAAAGTGGAAACTCAATTCAGTTATGGTGTTCAGAAGTGGGGACTTTGCCACAGGATAAGAATTAAAGTTGTTGGAGTAGAGTTGTCATGAGTGACTGCTGTGGCTTTATACAAAGGAAAGGAACTCAGGCACACACCCACTGCACAGGTGGTTTCCCTGTCTCTGGCAATGTGATGCTCTGCCCTACCTTGTGCTCTGCCAGCAAGGAGGCCATCACCACAAGAGGCCCCTAGACCTTGCAGCTCGAGAACTCTAAGCCCAGAAACCCTCTTCTTATTTTATTTTTGCTGTTCCCGGGGCTTGAACTCAGGACCTAGTCTAGCACTCTACTACATGAGTAGCACTCTACTACAGCACCACTTCCAGCTTTTACTGTTTATGTGGTACTGAGGAATTGAATCCAGGGCTTCATGCATGCTGGATAAGCACTCTACTGCTAAGCCACATTCCCATCCCAAGGGTTGGTTTATTTGTGTTTTCTTTTTTTTATTGGTTGTGGGGATTGAACTCCGGGCCTGGGTGCTGTCCCTGTGCTCTTCAGCTCAAGGCGAGCTCTCTACCATTTGAGCCACAGCACCACTTCCTGTTTTCTGGTAGTTTATTGGAGATGAGTCTCACAGACTTTCCTGCCCAGGCTGGCTTTGAACCACAATTCTCAGATCTCAGCCTCCTGAGTAGCTAGGATTACAGGCATGAGCCATTGGCACCTGGCTCTGTTTTTTTTTTTGTTTGTTTGGTTTTGTTTTTTAATCGGTCGTGGGACTAAACTCTGGGCCTGTGTGCTGTCCCTCAGCTCTTCAGCTCAAGACTAGTGCTCTACCACTTGAGTCACAGCGCCACTTCCAGCCTTTTCTGCTTATGTGGTGCTAAGGAATCGAACCCAGGGCCTCATGCATGCAAGGCAAGCATTCTACCACTGAGCCACCTTCCCAGCCCTCTGTTTTCTTTTAAACTGCATTTTTTGTCTTCTTTTTTGGTATTTGGGATGGAACCAAGGATATTGTATACTTACTAGGCAAGCGCTTTGCTACTGAGCTACATCCCAGCCCAGCTGTAGAAGTTGCATCTTTAATAATGTACGTGTACAAAGAGGACATTTCTTTATCTCTATTGAGGACATTTCAACATTTTAATGTCCATTCGCAGTGCTTTCATACAAAGCAACATGATAAGTCACTTTCATGGAATCAAATTTGCAAATGAGTCAGGCACTGGTGGCTCACACCTGTAATCCTAACTACTCAGGAGGATCTGAGGATCTCAGCTCAAAGCCAGCCCAGGGAAGGAAAGTCTGTGAGACTCTTATCTCCAATTAACCACCAGAAAACCAGTAGTGGCACTGTGGCTCAAGTGGTAGAGCACTAGCCTTGAGCTGAAGAGCTCAGGGACAGCGCCCAGGCCTAGAGTTCAAGCCCTACAACTGACAAAAAAAAAAAAAAAATGCAAATGAATACTGTAAAATAAATTAGAACCTTGAAAGTTGTGTGTATGTGTGTGTGCACATACCCGCGTGTGCATGCACATGTGTAGGTGAGTACTTAAACTCAGGGCCTGGATATTATTCCTTAGCTTTT